TTCCGAAACCCTTCTCCTCACCAGGCTCTGCCTGCCCAGGACAACTGGCTCCTTTCTCCTGACATCCGCGCATCCTGCTCCCTATCGCTTGTTCTCTGAATTTCTGTGATGAAGAACTGCTGTCAGATACAGCTTACGTCCAGCTCCCCCCATTATTCTGATCACAGTCCAGAAAGCTCTCCCGTTCCCTGGACTCCCCCTGCCCCTCTGTCCTTCCATCAGCCCCTCGCATCTGGCTTCTTTGATGGGTTGATTTACGGCTCAAAATCCACTTTCTTCTTCCTGCTCCTCCCACCACCTTGAATTCGCAAGAGACCAACTTTCCACCTGTCACCTCCCCTCCCACCTCCTATCTCTGAAACCCTCTAGGCGGTGGCCACTTTCAGACGCTTCAGAGAAACCTGGGCCAGAAATCTCACCCTCTGCGATCACTCCCACTGTGTGCACCTGCTTAGTCACTCAAAGAATTCTCCACCTCCGTGCCGCGGCTAAGTACACTGAAGGACTCTCGAGGTTTCCCAAATGATTTCACATACCTCATGCTCAGCCTGCGCCCACACCACACACCGTGGGGTCATCTCCAGAGACTTCTACGTCTATGTGGATAACCACGCTCAGCTCCGGCCTCTGGTGTTCCCAGCTTCCTCAAGCACGTGGAGGCCACACTGAGAGCATCACTTAAAACTCCTCCACCCCCACGACCTGCCCTCCAAAGTCTTCCTCCACCCACACTGGCAGCGTCCCGTGGTTCCACACTCAGTTGCCTCCAGGTCTCTTCCCTCTCGTCCTGGCCTCACCTCCTCTGGCTCTCCAGAAGTCTCCCGTCCTCTTCCAGCTCTGACCTGCTTCCCTGCCCAGCCTGGACCGCAGGGCGCTTGATTTCAGGAATTTACTAGCTACCATTCTGGATTTCCTCCCCAGGAAGACCTCTTGTCTCTGTCATCCTCCCTCTGCAGCTCCAACCCTGTTAACTCTTTTTTCTTCCAAGAGTGCCTGAGACACTCCGGGAGAACCTCCGGCTGCCATGCCAACAGAGAAGACCACGGGCTCGTGGTCTCAGCCAACAACTGAACGCCACCGCAAGCCTGTAGCTCCTTCCTGAACGTTCTGTGGCTCCTTCAGCGCAGCCCCACGGCGGCTGTTCAAAACTAACCCTGGTCCCCGCTTACAGGAGCCACCTGCGCTCTCTCAGCTGCCCCCCACCCCGGCCACCTCAAAGGCCTTAGGAGCGCAGCCCCCTCCCCTCCTTTCCCTCCGTCTCAGAGACGCCCGTCTCTCCTTCGGGGGCTCTTCTCTCCCTTGAAGCCCTTGGTTCCACCCTCACTTCCTGCCCGCTCGCTGGGCAACGACCCGTCAGTGTGAAGTCCGAGGGCCACCAGCACTTCCAGAGTGGCGTCCATCATGCGAGCCAGGAGCATCTCTTCGGGCACAGCCCCGCGGACAGTGCGGAGGACAAGTAAGGAAGCCAGACCCAGAGCCAGCACGTCAGGCCCTCTAGCTCTGGCTCCTTCGCCAAGGGCGTGTCACTACCGTCTAGGACTGGTTCTCCAAAGTCGATTTGGGCTGGGCCACATCTAAGGGTCCCTACCACTCTAATCCTGTCCAGTCTCTGAAAGAAATTCCATTGGGTAAAAGAGAGGACCTCCGTCTGTTGTTCCACTGAACACAGACGTGGACGCCCTCCCTCCCCCTCCACTCTTGCTCTTCCAGACATGGAAACTTCTTCTTTCAAAAAAAACACAGCAGCGAACGGGAGGCTTTGTGTTAGGCAGCCGCCCGGCCACGCTGAGGCCTTCCTGTCCAAGGAAGGTGGGAGCACCTCTAGGCGGAATCATAATTTCAGAATGTGTTTTTTAAAGAGTTAGAGTATTCATTGTTTCACAAACAAAGAAGTCCTCTGGGACAGAGGTGAATGTTCTGTTTTGGAAGGAGACTACAGAGAACCTTCAAACCTTTGTTTTTAAACCCGTGAAGAACCATCTCTTCCCTAACCACCCACCCCCGCCATGCCATCTTTGAGCCGTCACGTTGCTTCAGTGCCAGCGGTGCCAAGCTCATCTCCAAGAACAGCAAGGCAGGCGGCAGCCTGGCGATGTTGCCATTACCTGTGATGTCTTTAAGGGTCTCTGTGCCTCCAGCCCTTCCTGGAGTCATGGAGGATGAACGCACACAGGACACTAAGGTTCCTACTATGTCATGAAGTGAGGTAAAATTCTCTAGGTTGAAAACATGCATATCGAGTGGTTCACTTGCTATTTCTTTTAACGCTCCTTCATCTGCATCCTCAACTCCAACTGCAAACACGTTAACGTCAGCAGACTTAAGCTCCGCTGAGGGCAGAGCAAGGCCGTCCTCCGAGCGTCCGCTGGTTAGCACTACGACCACCTGGGGGACTCCAGCACTGGCCCGGCTCCCAGCAGCCTTAGAGAGGTGGTTCTGCATCACACGCTTTAATCCTTGTCCAGTCTGATTGCTTCCCCCAGTGTAAGACATGTTGGAAACATGAGAGAGGACTTCTTGTTTAGTACGGTACGTGTTTAACAGGAACTCGGTATGTGGGTTGCCGTTGAACTGGACCAGAGCAAAACGGAAATCGTTTTCTCCCACAGCTAAAGATTTTATAACATCATACAGAAACTCGCGAACCAGTTGGAAATGCTCCTTTCCAATGCTCCAAGAGGAATCCACTAGAAATATTATATCGGCAGCAGCACCGTTTTTGACATCTTTAAAAAAAGACATTGGTTTAGATGTTTCTCCTATTCAAGAAATGACTTCCTATCAGTGCAAAGCCTTCCTCAACTAATTCAGTTTACACCACACTGTTACTAAATAATTTACACCTCACATGTGAAAGGGGAAGGGAGGCCAACTTACCTGAGATGCAGGGACCTGGACACCGTGGACCCAGCGGCTGCTGGTGCCCAGTCATTGGCCCAAGTTCCATATGCAGTGACCACCATACATGAACAGTAGCAGGCTCCAGAATGGGGGAAAAACTTCCCTGGGGTGTCCTTTAACTCAAGATGATTCTCTGACAGCTTGAACCCCAGGACCCACCTGATCAGACGGGAAGGATATCCTAGCACAGGTAACCAAGCATCATCTTACAAACTCATCCTTCAGCTTGGGGTCCAAAGCGGAGCCTTGACAAGAAGGAGCCAGGAAACTGCCCCTTGTTGCCTTAACTAATCTGCAGCGCTGCGGGTCATTTGCAAGGAAGGTAAAGGCCGTGAATCTGTCTGCTTGAAGCGAAGAAGGCTTGTACAAGTGTGGAGAGGGGCGAAGTCTCGTTTCTTTCCAACTTTTCAGTGTGAAGAAAGGCACCCCAACTAGTCACCACATATCTTTCAGAGCCGGAAAAGCCTTCTTAGGTGTTGAACACTATTCATCTCTTTCAAAGACGAATCCAGTTCTCCCTCAAAAGTAGGAGAAGGAAGCTTAAGGGCGCGAGGCTGGGTGGCTGGGGCGTGCCCTTCTGCAGGGGGCCAGGCTGGCCGTGCCCCGCGGGCTCCTGGATCCTACTTACCTGGGGGTGACCTGAGGCCCAGGCAACGCTGCCCTTGCATTGAGGGGGCACTCGCCTCCCGCCATCTGGGAACTACCGGGTCTGGGGGAGAAGCCCAGCTCTCCAAACAAAGGAGAGGGGCCCAAGCCAGCCCTGTCAAGCTCGTAATACAGGGAGCGTGTCTCATTTGTCTAAAACTCTGCAAGCAAGTTCTTAATAGGGTCAATTAAGACCTATTTGTTAAGTGGTTTTGGGATTTGATGATGCTGGATCAAACATGTCTTTCTGTGTCCAGAGTTAGAGAGAAAGGGTGATATTTGTTTTTGTTTCTGTTTTTGTTTTTTCAGGGGAAATAATTTTTACTCTCAGTCGTTGTCTTCTGGTTTCATGCGCTCAGACACCAACCAGAGCCAGACATGTGGAAAAGCTCTTCGGTTGGTAAAATATTTTTGATACAAACTTTCGGCTCACACCCAACGTGAAAACAAACCACTTGCAAACCAACACCGAGATATCAAGCCCAAGTTTTAGCAAAAGGAAGCTTCTCTTGCTGGATAAAGAACACGTGAAAAGGTCTGTAAAATGAACGCACGCCCTGTAACAAATGGCTTGCCTACCTCTTCACAGCCTCTCCAAGCTCTCTACCAAGCTCGTGATGTCTAAGATCTAAACTCAGAGAGCACTGCGCCTTTTAGCATAATTGAGAGATGCTTCTGGATCTTACCTGCTTGCTGTTGGGCACGAGTGAAAGAAAAGCCTGAGAAAAAGAGGCAAAAGATGGCCACTTTCACGGGCAAATGCCGGTGTTTCCTCATTGTGAATCTGTCTAAGCACCAGCGGGCACCTACGAGAGAACACAGGGCAGACGAGAATGGTCAGGTTTTGGCTCTCGGATTACTAACGAGTGAATCCAGGATTTGTCCCTTTTATGGGAAACACTTTTGCCTAAATATATAAATGCGAATGTTTAAACCTAGTGATTGTCTGACTTTGGCCATAGCTGAAAATTGTGCAGTTCAACCTCTTCTCCTCCCAGATGGAAGCAGGCAACAAGAGCTTATCAATAAACATGTGGCAGAATATACAAGGGTCAAGAGGAAGGGTGCAGAGGGCAAAGCGGCAGGGTGGTGATGCTCAGCTTGACTCTGCCGATCATATTTCAAGGAATCCCAGGGGGAAGCTTCAGTTCATGGAGAGACAGTGGACTTTGTTCAAATGGCAGTGCGTGCACACACAACCACAGCCACTGGGGCCACGGTGAGTCCTGCCCTGATTCTCTCAATATTTAGCACTTGTCCTCCAACAAAAACCTGCTGTGTGCCCAGCTCCAATCTCAGAATGGAACACGCCCAGGGATACTGGATTAGCAAGACTGAAGCCAGACCTGAGGGCTGACTGCCTTGGAGCACGGTCTCCACACACATCTGGTCATGCAAGCGGGACGTCCAGCCAGCCCGGCTCACTTCCAGATGGGCTCGGTAGCCTGGGTCACCAGATCTTTTCCCTACTAGCAAACGATACCTTCTCCCCACCCCAACCCTGAAAGCATCCAACCTTCATGTCAGCACCGAAACCCTCATGTCAGCCTCTTCACCCCCAAGTCCCCAGTCCAGTGAGATCAGCCAGAGGGCCTGGGCTCGTCCTTATGACCCTCCAGAGAGCCGGCCTATGTCTGCTCTTTCTGGCTTAGGTCCTCTTGCAGGACAGCATCTCTTTTCTCTCACCCTTGGTCCAAGGCTCTGTTCTCCCCCAACTCTTTCTTAGGTCTTGTGTCTGTGACCTGGGCAGTCCCATAGGCTCCGACACTTGGTTTAATGACTTATTGTGGCTATTCTGAAATTCTTACTAACTTTTGAACAAGGACTGTCGTTTTCATTTTGCACTGGGCCTGGGAATTATGGCGCTGGTCCTGGCTGGGGCTGTCCATGTATATCAGCGACCCTTCTAACCTTCACCCAAACTTGTCAGGGGTTCCCTGGTCAGAGGCTTGGGTAACAGAATGAGAGAGGAGGGGCGGTGGCCACACCAGCAGGCTCAAATGTTATCACAGCACTATTTTTGATGTCATGTTATCAGGAGTTATTCAGCACCTACTATGTTGGAAGCACCACTTTTTGCAACGTGTCTGATTGATCTTCACATTGTCCTTCTAGGTGGATGCTAATCCCCATGCTTACAAAGAAGAATTTGGGGCTCACAGAGTAATTGGCCCACATCAGGCACCTGTCAAGGGACGTCTTGATACTAAAATAACACCCACCACTATGAAGGTTTATAAGAGGGAGGATAAGAAGAAAAACACTTTTGGAAAACATTTCCATCACAACTTGTCATTCAAGTTCAACAGCCTGAATTCGGAGCCTTCTTGGAACCAAAGAAGGAGCCAGTGATATTGGATAAAGACAAGGTGTTTGGAGTCACATAGACCTGAATCTGCCACACCCTACCTTGGGCAGGTCATATCATTGCCCTAAGCCCCAGCTTCCTCATCTATAACATGGGAACAGTAATAGTATCCCTGTGAGAACTGAATAGCAGGTACTTGTGAAGTCCCTGACACAGAATGGACAGTAAGTGAATTCTCTTCCACGGTTGGATTTGCCAGCATTTCCCAAAGCGTCTTCCATGGAACACTCATCCCATGAAATGTTCTAGGGGAAAAAGGAGGGTTTCCTCAAAGAACAGTTTGGGGAACACCGAATAGCAAGCCCTCCTCTGGAACAGTTGCGATATACCTTAATGTAACAGCTCTGAGAAGGTAGGAAACCTGAGGCACCTTATTTAACCCAGAATTTCCCAAACACGTTCCAGAAAATCTTTCTTCCATTGTTGATATTCACCTCCAATAAAACGAGCTGCACCCTTTAGGAGCGGTGCCTGCGTATTGCTATGCCTGATCTTGCTACATCCTTGCTGCTCTAAAGTACTCACTACAGGCATCTCCGCCTGCCCAAGTCTCCCTCCGACCCAGTTCAGGGGGCTGTGGATATCTGTCCCCTTCGACTCCATTTACTGCAAGTAGGGATCCATTTCCCTCGATGGAGGAGGTCCCTACCCCCCAGTGACCAGTGAGAGGGATGGAATGTGTAAACAACCAAGGTTTTCTCCAGAGGGGCTCTGGGGAGAGCCCAGAGTCAATCCCATCAGTTCCATGAACTTTCAGAGCGCTGCTCAAAATTATCGGTTATTTTTTCTTGTACTTAGTTTCAAGATATGTTATTTGATATTTTTAATTATGTAGTGTAGAGTACAGTCAAGTGGCAAATCCCACATGGTTACTGAAACCTAAATATGGTTAATCTGGAGAGACTGGGTTGCTGTCGTAATTTATATTTCATTGGGGTTTGAAAATTCAGAAGGCCCTGTGAATTACAACATGAAAAGGTAATCATCATCAGTATGAATAAAAATCAAAACCCTTTCTGATTTTCAAGTGGATGTCAGATTTTCCAATGTGGTTTTTTTTTCATTTTATAATCTTGAAAGTCCAAATGCTTCTAAACTGGTTTCATACCCCCTGCCTCAGGAAGGGTTTGACCCTCCCCTGAGAGAGTAAAGAGCAAATCAGGTGTGAAATGGCTTGTAACATATCATTACTGTTGTGAAGTTGGGAAAACTGACAAAACTCTGTGTAATCTGGAGGAAGTGAGGACCAGAATACACCAACAAATTAGATAACCTACAAGAAATGGTTAAATGTTTAGAAACATATGGCCTACCAAGACTGAATCATGAAAAAATTAAAAATCTGAATAGATCTGTAACTAGTTAGGAGATAATTTCAAAAACCTCCCAAAAAAGGAAAATCCAGGATCAGATGCCTTCACCAGAGAATTTTACAGAACATTTAAAGAATTAACACCAATTTTTTCAAACACTTCCAAAAATGAAGAGGCTAGAACACTTCCAAATTCATTTTACAGTGTCGACATTACCCCAATACCAAAATCCAACAAAGATAATGCAAGAAAGCTACAGACCAAAATCCCTAATGAATTTTGACACAAAAATTCCCAACAAAATACTAGCAAACTGAATTCATTACATATTAAAAGGATTACACATGACTGAGTGGGATTCATTCCTAGAACGCAAGGATGGTTCAATACACAATGTAGTACACCACACTAACAGAATGAAGGTCAAAAACATATAGTCACTCAATTGGTGCAGAAAAATCATTTTATCGAATTCAACACCCTTTCATAATTTAAAACAACAATACTTAACAAACTAGGAATAGAAGGAAATTACCTTAAAATAATGAAGACCACATACAAAAAGCCCACAACCAGCACAATACTGAATGGTGAAAACATGAAAGCTTTCCTTGCAAGATCAGGAACAAGGCAAGGATGACCTCTCTCACCGTGTCTGTTTGACAGAGTACTGGAATTCTTAACCTAAGCAAGCAGGCAAGAAAAATAAATGGCATCCAAATTAGAAAGGAAAAAGTTAAATTATCTCTATTTGGAGATGACATGATCATCTATGTAGAAAACACTGAAGATTCCACACCCAAAAAAACTCTTAGAACTAATAAGCAAATTCAGTAAAGTTGCAGAATAGAGAAGCAACACATTTCTATACATCAACAGTGAACAATGTAAGAAGGAAACTAAGAAGACAATCTCATTTACCATAGCATCAAAAATAACAAAATGCTTAGGAATAAACTTAACTAAGGAAATGAAAGGCTTGTGCCCTGAAAACAACAAAACACTACTGAAAGAAATTAAAGAAGACACAAATAAATGGGAATGTGTGCATGGATTAAAAGGCCTAATATTGGTTAAATGCCCACACTATTGTGAATGAAAAATGTTGCCTGACATATCAGTAAACAAAGGATGTTGCAGCCATCAAGCCACAGCAGTCGCCCCAATGGTGAGCCTGAGGGAACTCAGGATGGAGACAAACAGGCTGCCTGCTACCAAACCCTCAGCCACTGCAGCCACTCCCAACAGTGCAGCCTGAGGGGACCCTGAGGGGACTCAGGATGGGAAAGAACAAGATACTGGCCCTAGAGAGCTAAAGTGCACATCACAGGAGTGATGTCAACGAGCCCAGACTCTTGCATCTTCTCAAACTTAGAACTTTCATTAACTTGAAATACCTGGTTTTCTTTCATTAATGGTAATCTTTTCATGTTTCAACTACCTGGTCTTTGTGGCAAAAACCCTTATATATCCTGGCTTCTCCCTTGCCTCTTCAGAGCAGTCCTTCAGAGACATCTGAGAGGCTGTTTCCCAGGCTTAAAGTCCTTAGAAAGTCTGCCAAATAAAACATAGTTCTCCACTTTTATGTTGTGCATTTTTTATTGTTGGTTGACATTATCTAAAGTAATCTACAGATTCAATGCAATCCCTATCAAAATCCCAATGACATTTTTTGTAGAAATAGAAAAAAAAATCCTAAAACTCATATGGAACTTCAAAGGACCCAGAGACAGAAAAATAAAGCTGGAGGACTCACATTTCCTTATTTCAAATCATATTACAAAGTTACAGTAACCAAAACAGTGTGGGCCTGGAATAAAGACAGACATACCAACCAATGGAATAAAACGGAGATTCTAGAAATAAACCTTTAATTACATGGTCAAATAGTCTTCTCTAAGAGTTCCAAAGCTACAGAGTGAGGACAGGATAGTCTCTTCAACAAACAGTGCTTGAAAAACTGTATGTCCACATGCAAAAGAATAAAGTTAGACCCTTACCTTACACCATTTACAAAACAGATTAAACTCAAAATGGATTAAAGATCTAAATATAAGACTTGATATTATAAAACTTTTAGAAGAAAATATAGGAGAAAATTCTTCACAACATTGAATTTGGGAAT